CAGACGAGACAGGACGCGAGAGAAGAAGAGGCGCACACTCGACTTAGAAAAAAAAACCGCATATATCGATCGGGGACGGCGAGCGGTATCGAGGGGGCATCGATAATATCGGCACCGGCACCTTTCACGATAATCCGACACGTGTACCGCGTTGTTAATGGGTATTAACGATAAATTAAGAATGGTATCGAAGGATTAATACGTGTAAATTAGACGACAGAAAGTATCCACATAGACCAGCGCTCGGAATTAGTTGCACATTTCGGGCCGATTCCCGAGACGACGCCTCCTGTTCCCCCACTACCGCTCGACCGCTAGCGGTCGAGCCGCCGATAGCTCTGGCGCAGGAGCGTTTTATATAAGAAATAGGCTGGGTTGTTGAGGCACCTCTCAGAAAATAGTAATATTTTCTTTGCTACATAAATAATGTTTATTTTCATTAATAATTAAATATATATATATTATGTATTAATAAAAATAACATTATTATGTAGTGAAGAAAATGTTACAATTTCCCAAAAGATGCCTAAACAATCCAGCCTATTTCTAATATAAAACGCTCCTGAGCCAGAGCTATCGGCGGCTCGGCCGCCAGCGGCCGAGCGGTAGTGGGGGAACAGGAGGCGTTGTCTCGGAAATCGGCCCGAAATGTGCAACTAATTCCGAGCGCTGACATAGACGTATACCTACAACCAAAAATATATATAAATAAAAGAATATATATATATACATACACACGCGCACACACACACGCGCACACACACACACACACACACACACACACACACACACACACACACAAACATATGCACTCGCGCTCGTACACGATTTCGGCGATGCGAACTGAAAGTGTTTCCGAAGGAGGACGTCCTCTCTCTTTCTCGCAAAATGCCTTGCTGAGAAATATTCTGAGACTATTCTGCGAATGTATCGCGAAAATATGCTGAGAATATTCTGACATTGATGCTTTGAAAAAGACGCGCGCGGAATAATATCGAAACACGCCGAGAGAACGCGGATTTTTGATAATATTCCGATACCGAGAATCTGGGAATATATTTGCGAACATTTTTCTAAAATGTTGCAAGAATATCCTCCGAGAACCGAGATACTCCGAGGACATTCCGAAAGTATCCTTTCATCTCGCATCACCGCGTATACGTATACTCGAAGAAAAGTGGATGTTGCGTCACAGTTGATCGCGAATCGATTCTATCGAACGTGAAACGCTTGCGAATCGTTGGGCGACCGTGTTTTCTGAGTGAGGACAATAAAGGGGGACGGCGGATCTAACGAGCGCTTGAGTCGTCGCCCTCGCGCAGGACGCACTTCCGCTCGAGGAGTCTCCGATTTTGGTATCCTCCTTTTACCTATGATTCGTACGCGTCCAGCTGTAGAGTTAGCGTTAATCATTGTAAGATGACTGGCGAGTGCGGAATCAGAAATTGCGAGCTTAGATCCTCCTCGAATGTTGGTCCTAGTAGGATCGAGGACGGCGTCTCAAGCGTCTGGCGTAGATCCTGCTGAAGTATAGAGATGCTGAAACTAAACGGGGCGTCGATACTTTCATCCAGTCTGAGTACCGATAAAGTACGGCTTGCGTATCGCTCACGATAATCATCGAAATACTTTCTGCAACGATAAATCAGCGAAGATCAATGGGAAAACATTATTAATGTTTGTGTATCGCAAGAGTGTAACGGAGCGTTCCGGAATTGTCGTCCAGTGAGTGATCGTTAGTGTCTTTGTTCAAAGCTTCGAGCCGACGATCGTCACCCGATCGCAGACAAATGAGAATTTAATTGCCGATTATGGAATTTGATAGTTTATTCGACACACGCACACATTCATTGTCGTCCGAAGTGTCGATTCGCGGCTCGAACTCGATGCGTTTTTCGTCGCGATTTTAAAACGATCATGACGTAATGATGTAATACTATAATGTTATAGTGTTATGTTATATGGTATATTGCACAATATTATACATAATATTGTAAGATTATAGACGAATGTGAGAAAGATTGTGTCGCAAGTACCGCACGCAGCATCCAGAAAAGAAAAGAAAGAGGCCATTTACAAAAATTTGAAGTCGATCGACAGATAACGACGCAAAATCGTTACCAATGCATGAAGAATTTTCTACGTTAATGCTTTTCAACTACATCGACACACCTAACCTGAAATACTCGTGAAATCGCGTCAATTACTAATATATTTCAAAGGAGTGTAATTATAAAAGTGTATATCGATCGGAATACCGTTGTACAGTGTGTATAGTTATTGAACGAAAAAAACGGATTTGATCTTCTCTTTTCTTCGCGACCGATTGCACGAATCGCGCGAATTCTATCCGTAACATTTACAAATGTTTTATCGAACGCTGTAATATTGCTTCCATCTTAAACGTGTCGCACGAATATATCGTACGTGTTAATACGGATTTCTTACGATTTTGCGAGCCACAGACATCTCCGGGATGCGCGTGTACTTGTTGCGAAATTGCATTAAATGGTAAAATTCATTTTCGCGTGGCTGTCAATCGACTCCTTGATTGCGGGGTAATTTTTATATCGCCATTTCTTGTAACTTTTGCCGTTTTTTTATATTCTAATATTGTTCATTAAGACTAAATAATAGTTTCTTCAAATGTATATATACGTTTATCTTTATCATATAAGCGTATGCGAGTTAATTTTTCGTAATAACAATTAATAGAATTTTAAGAATCACGTACTACTTTACGCGTTTTAAATTATGTAATGTAAGGTAAAAAAAAACAACAGAACTTGTTATTTCCAAGAACAAAAAAAAAACCAAGTCGAGAACGTAATCGATTTTGTCTTGCAATTTTTTTTGTGCTGAAAAGTCGATCGAGCGCCTGCCAGATTTAACTCGAAGCACACGCGACAAGCCGGCCAAGAATGACAAGTGCCCTTTCTTTCTTTTTCCGCTTGAAATCGAGTATGCGACTCGGCAAAGACCTGACATCCTACGCAAGAACGATATCTCAAGACACAGAAATGTCAACAAGAATTGAACTGTAAAATCGCAACATTTGAAAACGTAGAGTTCATCTCGGGAAAGAGATTTTGTTTTGGAGGAATATTTTCTTCTGATAGACAACGCCGCGAAATATCTCCTTTTCATTTTTGTGTATCAGAAAATGTCGGAAAAGTACGACGAACGTGGTGCCAAAATTGTCGTATAGCAATAATTAGTAGGATTAATACCAGACTGATACATAATAGTGTTCAAACGCGAGAGTTCGTCGAAAGGTGAAATCTCAACGGAGACTTATCGCTAGATTATCGCGATTAATTGTCGCGTAAATTTTGCAATTCGTAGTTGCTGCTTCAAAAATGCCGACCGAAGAACTCAACCAAACATAAAAAACACAAGAACGCGTTAAAAATAAAGGAAATTTACTTCGAACAAAGCAAGAAAAAGATAAAATGATTATCTTGAATGATCTTAAGCAGTTAAACGTTGCGATTTTACGCTTTGATTGTCGCCAGTAATTTATTTGTGACGAGCAACGAATTCTTCAATTTCGTTAATTGTACCGAAGGTCGAACGTAGAGTTGATAATTGCTGATGTTTGTTTAAACGCACCGGGAAATAGAATCGTCTGTGAAGTTGTTTCGCGCCGAGATAATCTTCGCAATTACGCGAGAAACCAAATTGTGTTTTACGATTCAGTGGAGAATCGAATTTGAAATTTGCATTTTAGTTCAATCGTTGCTTCGAAATGTTAAAGAGGATGGCGGGAATCGACAGATACACACGCAATAGACCTACACATAAAAATATGGATACAATCGTGCGCACACATACACACGACACACAAAAATATATCTAATAAGGCATCGGTTAAGATCTGACAGCGAAAAAAAAAAAATAATAAGATACCTACTTACTAATTACTATAGGCGAAAAAACACACGTGCAGATTTAAGAATTTAACGGAGGACCTTCTGTTGCTCGAATTATTGCATTGTCTACTATATATAAATTTTATTGTATAAATTCTGTCGAGGCGCGCCTCCGAGCGAGAGTCGATGTTTCTTTTTCTCCTCGACCCCCCCGTATCTCCTGACGAGGGATCTACGAGGACATTCGGGAGAGAGAGACGGAGAAGAGTGTGTAACCGAGGAACCGCTTTTTGTATAATCGCGATTATACTTCGGCTATCATCATCGCGCGGTATCAAACGACACGCCGCTTCTCGCGCGCGGAAAAGCAAAATTCTCTTATTTTTCCAGAGTGTTCGGGATATTCTAAGATCTTTTTTTTTTTATTTAGACCAGATTCTGCGATAAATATAAAGTTGATTTAGCTTAATCTTAAATGTAAGCGATAAAGTCCAATTAACTAATCTGACTATCTGAGAAATCATATAAAGATACGATTGCATCTTGAGCGTTTCGAAACGTCAGCGTATTTTTTTTGTATTTGTAATCCGCGTTAGATACACACGCTGAAAAGCGCCCCGTCATTACAGCAGGTGTTTTTATCGCGGCCAGGTGTCTAGTAAAAGTTTATCGACTTTATATAGATAATGCGCTTATCATTTTCCTTATCTCTTTACTCGAGAAATCGTATAAAAAATTTTTAAAAATGTAAAAAAATATGATAATGTTGATTGAACGAAGGTTAAGGTTAATTCGAGCAGTTATTCGTCATAAACACGCGCGACAGAGATATCAGTTTTACGTATATTCATTCGAACAGATACCGATTGGTTTCTTTCCCACGCGCGTTTCAAAATCAATTAACCGCATTCGCACTTTCAATTTCATTCAGATGAAAGTAGTCTCTGCTTAAAAGGGAGGAAAGCATCGAACGAAGCGCCACGATGTTGCTCGCGATTTTCAGCAATTCGCTCTCTCATTTTACGCACTCTCCTCGAAAGTAAGTAAAAGTGGAGGGAAAAAAATCGAACAGGGTCGAGACACTCTAGCTCGGAGACGTATCCCAATAGTTGGCCTAGTACCAAGTTTCATATTTTTCGCCCCCCTGGGTACGCAGTGGATCGTCGAACGATTGATCGTCTATGATTATTGACATTCTTCCAGAAATTTTATTGATATATATATATATAAACTTTATCGCTATCGTTGAACATAGTAATATTTGGGGATATATGACTAGGGCGATACCTTCGGTATTTATTGGGGAAACCGAGAATATACTATATCGAGAGAGAGAGAGAGAGAGAAAGAAAGAAAGAGAGAGAGAGAGAGAGAAAATATAAAACGAGAGCAAGAGGACAAGAGGGGGGCTGAAAGAGAGATATGGGATTGGTAGAATTATTATACATATAAATATATGGAATATTATATATAAGAGAGAGGAGATACACAGTCGAGAGCAGGGACGGGGGCGGGTAATAACGAAACGAAGGCGAATTAGCGTGTAACAATGTAAGTCTTTCCAGAGAGAGAAAAGAGAGAGAGAGAGAGAGAGAGAGAGAGAGAGAGAGAGAGAACAGAGACAAAAAGAAGAAGAATCTCTTCCTTGCGTTGACGTAAAACGGAGCTGAATCTGCGAGAGAACCAAGGATTAGATTAAAAATATTGTACGTATGCGAGCGGAAATATGGTACGCGAGAGAGTATAAAACCTTTACGTTTTCTCACTCATTACGTGAACGGTACGTTAGTAATGGATATATTATGATTACGATGATTGCTATATTCGTTGTTATTGTTCCTCGGTTGTAAGCGGAGACGTTTAAGAGTGATCCATTTGTACAATCATTGAGTCATTAAAATATGATTATTCATTATGGAAAATTGCCTATTTTCTTTAAAATTCCTTAATTTCCCAAAAAGGTATAATTAACTCTGCAACCTGCCTCAAAATTTCCCACTATGTCTTACTGATTTACGTCGCTTCGATTATCTGTGTGATTATTATCAGTAATAATATCAGTATAATAATTATCAGAAAATTTAATTTATTGGATTAACTTAGAATAAATTTATAGTTGTTATAAAAAAATATATTATCAATAACTGATTAAATTTAAAAAAAACCGCTTGAGCAATATTGTTTGACAATTTAATTTATTTTGTTAAATAGAGCTGTTATTTTTATCGTATATATATTTTTTAACTATCTATTAGAAATTGAATTTCCAAGTAATGAGGCATATTGCTTTTGAAAAAATTATAAATAAAAGATAATAATAAAATTATGAGAGACTTTTCTCGATTCCAATATATTTCAACTTATTTCTTAAAACTCATTGCGTAGTTAATACTTTGTACAGGAAACTTTATCACATTTCACAAGCATGCTGATAGCTTGTAGGTGTTCGATAATCTTTGATTGAGTAATTATTAAGAATAGCAGGTGAGTAAACTAAACAGTTAAGCTTCTCTAAATATAAGAAACCATTCATAATATAAATCGACTTTATTTTACTTCACTTGACTTTACTCATTTTGCGGATTCAAAGAAAATAAAAATACAGATTTGCATGCAGACTGTTGCTTTGGCTAAAAATAAAATGTATAAAAAATTCCGACTATCACACAATCACTAAAAAAATTATATACATCTGATTATATAAATATATTTCTAAAATAAGAGTAAAGAAATATTGTAACAAAGCATTTTACGTCGAAACTTTAGATCTGTCTCGTTTAATTAGATTTTATTTTAATTTCGACTCTTCGTCTTTCGTCTAAACTACATTCTGTTTGTGATAAGGAATGTTTTTGATCGAGATTTTACGTGTATGATAAGCTACCGGACACCAGTTGGTAAGTCTGATAAGTCCAATTTGATATGATTGTGCTTGCTCATTTAAGACAGTTGCTCGTTCAACCAGGAAAGTGAATAGTAACGACAGAATAATTGACATGACGGGGAACTTTATTTGTTTCTTTTTGCATCAAAAAGATCATTAATAAACTATGTCTCGAAATCTTACAGTTTGATAGGCTAATCGGAAATAAATCCGCGGTGAAGTAAAACGAAATATTATACTCGCAAAGGCTCGATATATCGTTGACGATTACAGTGATTGTTACAGCGTTATACTAAAGGTATTATATCGTATATATTATTATATTTATTTAATAAAGTGTATGCTTAAATAATTAATATTGTCCAAATCAGGAATAAAAAATCGCAAAATTACGAAAATAGATTATTTGTAGTATTGAGAAATAATAGTCCAGCGTGTAACACGTGAATTTACGTATTGTGTTAACCACGTTCGATATAGTTCGTCACCAAAGGAAAGAATTTGTCATGTGTTTTGAACGTGATTGATCTGTCCATAACAATAACAACTTTATGAAACTGTGGGCTCAGTGCACGTATCAGAAGTATAATTGAAACAGAATCGAAATCACTGGTCCAGAGTCAAGTACTCGGGCACTTGAAGGAATACAAGAAGAAATATAAGAAACAGACTTGAACAGTTTGCTAATGTTCTTAAGTGTAAATCTCTCGATCAATAACGATTTCTGAATGCACCTGCAACATGAAGCGGCCGGAAGTGTTGCTCAGTTTTGTATTCGCGCTATTGTGTTGCGTTTTAATTTCGGCGGAAGATAGACAATACTACTGTGCGTGGTACGGTGAGTGTGGAGAAGAAAATGACATTAAGCGAACCTGTGTAGCGAGAAATATCACCGCCCAACCGTTCAACAATTCGGATGCCGAAGCTACTTTGCAAAGGAGATGTCCGCACTTCTTTTCGGACGGTTTGTATTCTAAAATTCATTCGGCTAATCGCGCAATTGGAAGGCAAAGCGGCACTTTCGCTTTCGTCGATAATTTCGCGCTTACGAAACGTAACATCTTGCAGATTCGCTGAAAACGTGCTGCGACGCCGATCAAATCGTCACGATGGACCAGAGCATGGTTATGGCCGAAAACATTTTTGGCAGGTGTCCAACCTGCATAAGAAATATGTTCCGATTGATTTGCGATCTTACGTGCAGCACTGAGCAAGGTCGATTCTTAAAAGTGACCAAGAGTGACTTGGATGAAGATGGTATGGAGTACGTTGTAGAAACTGAGGTAATTCTTACACTGAAAAAGAAGTCTTGTTGGATTATACAGAATTCTAGTAGATTCAACCAGAATGTCTGTTCGAAAATGGACGAAACAGAATTCCTGTTGGAATTATCAGACTATTCTGGTTAATTCCTTCTTGTTAAATCTACCAGAATTTCTGTATAATCTACACTGGAAAAAGTTTTGTTATATTATAAAAAATTCTGGTTGATTTTACTAGTATATTTGTTTGAAAATGGACGAAATAAATTTGTTGTTATAATTACAAGAAGATTCTGTTGAATTCCATCCTGTTTAAATCTACCAGAATTTCTTGTAAACCTTACTGTATCGTTTTGTCAGGTTAACACAACTTTGTAGTTAAGGAAACAAATTCAGATAAGTGTGGTTTTTTAAAAATACTAACTATATTTTGTTTCCGAACTTGTTTTTCACTGGTATCCATATATTTCATTAAAAAAAACAAACACCACGTGATCATAAAACTTTTCGGATGTAAGAGGCTGATGGCAGAGAACGAGATGTAAGTCATAGTCGTATGGTAAGGCAAAGAAAAACGTAAGTCGTGAAACGTATCCACACAATACTCTTTCACGATTTACGTTTTTCTCTGCCTTACCATACAACCACGACTTATATCTCGTTCTCTGCCCAACTAATATTCCGTAATGGATTCCACAACGCGACGCAAACTTTCGGCGAGATCAGTTGAAACTGTTTCGATTGCATTTGTTACACTGCTACTGCGCCGCGAGTAGCGAAGACGCAGTAGCAGTGTAACAAATGAATGCGGCAAACAGTTGATCAACCGTTTAATGAGTGATAACGAAACTGTTGCAGAGCGCTGCGATTTATGTAAATATAACAAGAAGTTTTGTAGATCCAATAAGAAATCAGATCTTTAGAAGAAAGTTAACCAAATTCTGTTTCACTAGACAAGAATACGCTCCACCGGAAGCGTTTTATTAATATAATGAAACCATTTTTCTCAGTGTACAAACGATATTTGCAAAAGATTGGCAGAATAATAAGAAAATTTAGATAAAATAAAACATTTGTGATAAAACAATTTTAAAGCACATCAATTAAAACGTTATTAAAGAAAATGATAAACCAAATCTCTTTTGCAAACCAAAGTTAAACTGCTCCGATTGTCCTTTAGATTCACGTGACGGAAGAATACGTAACTGCGACATATGATTCCTGCAAAAATATGATTAACCCAATGAGCGGCATGTTAGCAATGGACATGGCATGCGGCTCGCACGGAGCCAGCAGATGTTCTCCTAAGTTGTAAGTACGCGAACAAAAATAAAAGTAAATAGCGTGCACGTATGAGTGTCTGGATATGCGTGAAGTAGAAGAAAGCTACATCTAATATATAACATATATAATTTGTGCAAAGATGGTACGAGTACATGGGCGACATCGAGGAGAACATGTTCATACCCTTCCAGATGACTTATGTTTATGATGCAACTGATAAATGGGGCGCAGAGCCATGGAATGCGCAAGCTAAAAAATGCGACGAGGCTTACGATGTAAGTTCAAAGAGCTAAACTCTAGAAAGCAAACAGTTACACGAATGTTTCGCATAATCTATATTTCTTCTCATACTTAAGAATCTCATACATTATCTTTATATTTTATCAGGACTTGTCTGCACCCTGCAGCTGCGTCGACTGTCCCTCATCGTGTCCCTTCACGAAATGGGAAATTGATTCAAACGATACTTTCACGATAGGCGATTTTAACGGTTATGGCGTAATAGCAGCGATAGTTATCGTTGCGCTCACAATTCTATCAAGTGCCACATATGTCTTAGTGAAGACATTTTGGAAGAAAGGTACGAATTTCGATGAATTTTTCATTGATTTTGAAATCCCTGCAAACTTTGTTTAAGATAAAATATTACGCGCGTACAATTTTATCTTTAAATGTTATTATTTCTATGTTCTTAGGTTCTAGAACATCGGTAAAAAAGTTAAATGGAAACTGTACTCAAAGTTGTCAAAAAATCTTCGAAATAATTTTTGCTTTGTGGGGAAAAGGTAATTAACATGTAATTAACATATTTTTCACAAATGTAATCTTCTTTATAACAATTGCTATAAAGAAATAATAAAAACTTTGATGGTACAAATTATGTAATTTGATTCTTATTAAACTCTCGTAATCTGAAATAACATTCAAAACAGAATATAACCGTTTTGATATCATTGAAGTTAAACAATCTTTCTTCGATCATACTATTGTACAAATTATTTATTACGTATTGAAGTAACGCTTAAAAAATACAAGTTTCTAATTATAGAAAAGAATTTTTAAGTTATCGTTATTTAACAGCGTTCGCCAAGCATCCTGTTATTGTCTTATTCACGGCTTCATACATCGTTCTCGGATTGAGTTATGGAATCACGTTTCTTAAGGTCACTGTGAACCCAATCGAAATCTGGGCGGCACCAGACAGCAGATCACGGATAGAAAAGGATTATTTTGATAACCGATTTCAGCCCTTTTATCGTACCGAACAAATTTATATAAAATCTGTTGGCCTTGACAAGGTAAGTTGCTTATCGTGACAATTGGTGATTTGTTTGGAATATTTGGGTGCCCTGCTTGCTTAATACAAAATAAATGTTCCTGGAAAACTATGTTACATGAGAATAAAGTTTTCTTATACATTTTATTGCAGATAAAACATAATACTACGAATGGAGTTTTGGAATTTGGACCTGTGTTTAACAAAGAGTTCCTCTTAGCTGTATACGAGCTACAGGAAGAGATTCTTCAGGTATGTTAACGTATAATGAAGAAATTTGCTCTCTCTCTGAGTGTGTGATATATAATTAAAGAACTTTGACAATTAACGTTTACAGATTGGCAGAAAAAAGAATGAAGGATTGGAAAAAATCTGCTACGCTCCTGTGCAAAGCGAATTCACTGGGCCGGTAACTCTCGATCTCTGCACGGTGCAAAGTATATGGGGATATTTTCAAAACGATCTCGAATATTTTAACAAAACCGATAATGTGAATGGATACGAAATTAACTATCTGGATGATATATACTCGTGTATGCAGTAAGTAAAGACCAATTCAAGTGTTTGTCTGAAATTATATAATGTGAAATTATATAATAGTCATTATTATATAATATTATATAATAAATAAAATTATGTAATTATGTAATTGTTTACAAAAATTTACAATGATAATAATAATACACTTCTTAAATGTATAATTTACGAATCAACATAGTAATAATTATTTCAACAATTAATTCAACAATTTACAACTAAATACGTAGTGTAATGGCTAAATACGCGTCAATATTTCTGACAAAATTCACTAGCGAATAATTAGTTCTCTTCCACACTATATATTTTGCATATTCAAATTTATTAACAAAATGTTTTTAGAAATCCATTTAATACAAACTGTCTGGCGCCATATAAAGGACCCATAATACCCGCATTAGCAGTGGGTGGTTTTTTAAAAGAAGGCGAGTTTGAGTACGATTCTTCTGATTATATAAAAGCAACGGGATTGGTTTTAACCTTCTTGGTGAAAAATTCGCTCGATGAGGAAGATCTCGCGCCGGTTATAAAATGGGAGCAACGGTATGTGAAAATAAAGAAAAAAGGCAAAATAAAATTTGTCGAACATCATTACAAGTATTAATGCATCAGGAATTTGTGCAATTTATTAAGTGCGCGCAATTATTAAATTTTGTTATTAAATTTTGAATATATGCAGCTTCCTCGATTTTATGGAAAAATGGAATCAAAAAAGTCGACCAAAATTCATGAATGTCGCATGGTCGACAGAGAAATCGATAGAAGACGAATTGGACAGAACTTCGAAAGCGGAAATGATAACGATGGTCATAAGCTATCTTGTCATGTTTGTTTATATCGCTCTGGCCCTCGGTAAAATTAGATTCTCTCCTATCGGCTATTTAGTAAGTTTATTTCATTGTCTTTCCTGATACAAGATTGTTAATAAACATGCAGCTAAACTCTTAAGCAATTCAATTACAATTTCTCAATTCAGATCGAAAGCAAAATCGTATTGAGCATCGGTGGTATCATCGTAGTCATTGCGTCGGTCGCCTGTTCGCTCGGCGTTTTCGGCTACGTAGGCGTACCAACCACTCTGCTCACAATCGAGGTATCATAGTGAATATGAAATAATTATATAATTAATATAATTCTTACAAAATATTTGTTTTTTGGAGACATTTATTTGTAGTAACAGTAAATTAATGGTAAATCGTTTTTCAGGTGATTCCATTCTTAGTGCTGGCCGTCGGAGTCGACAATATTTTCATTTTGGTTCAAAATCATCAGAGAAATCCTCGACGTTGCGGCGAATCGATTCCGGAGCACATTGGCAGAGTTGTAGCTGCGGTCGGACCCTCGATATTGTTAACCAGCACATCCGAATGTTTTTGTTTCCTCATCGGTACGTAGAAATTATTATATATGTATATAACTGAAGGAAAAGAGAAACTGTATAATTATATAAAATAAAAATTTCAGGAGCGTTTTCTTCGATGCCGGCTGTTAACACCTTCGCGATGTACGCCTCTTTATCAATTCTATTCAACTTCTTTCTGCAAATAACGGCTTTCGTCGCTTTACTGGCTCTCGACTCCAAGAGAACTGAGGTGAATTGCAAATGATAATTTAATTTTAAATAAAAATTTTGATCTTGCAATATAATTTGGCATCAATCTTTAATTATTTTGTTTCTTTTTTAAGATTTTGATTTCTGCAACAGTTTTAGTTTTGTATTTATTTTACGATAGATTGGTTTCTCCATTTTAATTTGTTTTATTTCGGAAAATAAATGACTAAAACATTTCTAGAACAACCGTCTGGACGTTCTCTGCTGCATTTCCGTCGAGGAAAGGTCACGACCGCATGCCGATGCAAGCAGGGGTCTCGTCCATACAATCTTCGAGCGTGCTTACACGCCGTTTTTGATGAAAACACCGGTTCGAATAATCGTTTTGATCGTTTTTATCGCCGCTCTCATTACTCACGTTATAGTCATACCGCAGCTCGACATCGGACTGGATCAGAAGCTTTCGATGCCCGAGGACTCTTACGTTTTGAAATACTTCGAGGTAAAAAATGGAATAAATTTTATCTATAGTCCGCATAATGATTATTCAAATGCAAAGTGCAATATATATCTTTTTGCAGTACATGGAGGATCTTTTGTCGATGGGCCCGCCTGTGTACTTCGTATTGACAAAAGGTCTAAATTACAGCAAGGCGGAAACTCAGAATATCATATGCGGTGGTCAATGGTGTAACACTGATTCTTTATACACACAGATATATTCGGCTGCGAAACAACCCGACGTGTTTGTATCCCTCAAATGATTTTAGAAATCTCGGAAAAATGTGTCCTGCAAGCCATATATGAGAAAAATTAATAATATTAATATTTTTTTGTATTTTAAAGTGAGACATTCATTATCTTTTACATTTTTCCAATAAAATGTTATTGCTAACAAATTGTTTAGATAAAGCGCGGTAAACACGATGTTTTTGCACATTTTTCTGAAAATTATTTCGAATAATTGCCAAATACACAAAGTGATTCGAATGCTACGCAAAAATTTCATTTGTACTTAAATAATTGTAGGTCGTATTTGTCTAAACCAGCCTCTTCTTGGATAGACGATTATCTGGATTGGTCGACGATTGACGGCTGTTGCAAATATTTTCTCACGAACGATTCGTTTTGCCCACACAAATTTGGTAAGTATAAATATTAATGTAATACAAGTATTAATTATTGTTAATGCTGATATACTTACTGTGTATAATAACAATTTCAATTGTGTTCTTCTTAAACTTCCGCACATCTTATTAATTAACGCAAATATAATTCAAAAAATGAAATTGCCTACAGATGGGATATGTGATACATGTGAGATTATTATTAACAAGAGTATTTCACGCCCGGATGAAGAAAGTTTCAGAAAATATATTTCTTACTTTGTAATGGACATTCCTGACGAATTTTGCGCTAAAGCTGGCAGAGCTTCATATTACGATGTGAGTCAATATTGCAATTGCATTTTAATGAATAATAAGAAATTTCTATTATTCCATATAAATTAAATTTTGGTGAACTTTTTGCAAAAGTGCAATTGCATAAATTAAAAAAATTAATTTTTCACATAATAAAATTCAATAATTGAAACTTTTGTTCAAACAATAGGCGATAAATTATTATTACGATGAGTTCGGTTTAATCGATGTGGGCGATTCATATTTCGTGGGCTATCATACACCTTTGAAAAAGTCATCTGATTGGTACGAATCGCTCCGAGTTGCTAGAATAATATCGGAGAACATCACAACCATGATTAACAATGCCAGACTGTCCAATCAAAAAGTCAAAGTGTTTCCATACAGGTGAGTGTATCATTTAAACGCCTAATTTCGAGAAACTAGATATCATAATTTTACAGAAAAAATTCTTATTCTTTCTTCTCAGCGTATATGTGTATTTCTTCTATCATATACTATTGTTGAAATATCAATTAATAAATTTTTGATACACGTTTCAGTGTCTTCTATGTGTTCTATGAACAATACTTAACCATTTGGCAAGAAATCTTATCGTCAATAGGTTTATCTCTTGCCGTAATTTTCGTCGTGACGCTACTTTTCACAGGATTATCGCTATTCTCTGCAGTGATAGTTGTTTTTACTGTGTCAACAATAATGATTAATATAGCGGGTCTAATGTATTGGTGGAATGTCAGCCTCAACGCGGTCTCTCTTGTAAATCTAGTTATGGTTTGTATTAAATTTGCTCTTTTTCTTTTCGTTCTCTAAGATCGACAAAGTGTCATGTTATAATTCGATAATAATTATTGTGACTTTTAATAATATGATAAATATATAAAAATATTACATAATGTATAAATACAACATTTATACTATCATGTGTGACAATATAAAACTAATTTTTTCAATATTTAAGGCTCCTGGGTAGTCACCGCAGCCATATTAGATTCGTGACGTCAGAAGCGAGAAATGACACGCCGAGAATTCTTGCGTGCCATTTCTAAATAAAATGATAATTTAACAAAGTAACACTCTGGATCGCTTTAAGACACCTGTAAAATTGTCCGAAAACTATGCTTTTTCCTTGACAGGTTATAAACAATTGTTAAATCAACAGTGAAACGAAGCCTAATTATGCGAGAAAACACACGGTTGACAGCTGTCTGTATGAGTAGAAAATTCTCCTTCTACGTTGGGCTTTCCCTGCTAATCTTAGTTTTCGGATAATTTTACAGGTTTCATGAACACGTCACATATCACAGTACTAACATTTAACGAATATTAATGAAATGGCACGCAAGAATAAATTGGGTAGTCAACATGTCATTTTTTCACGCCTAATAGTTCATCGATTCTCCACCTAAGACGCTGCATAAGAATTTCTGTCATATGGACATGTCGGTAACGGTACTAAGCTATATATATTCTGTATTTATCGCGTTTATTTTTTTGTAAACAAATTTTTAAATTATAAATTAACATTTTGTATGTTATTCAGTAATTTACTTTTATCGAATCAATTGATTAGGTCAAACTGTTACACTATTTATTTATACGATAAATCGACTGGGTAAATTCGACTAGGTTTTTATTCCTACCACAATTATGTCGCTACTGTCAACGCGGAGTTCACGGCTGCGGGACCAGGAGCCTTAATCGCATATTAATTGTAGATTATAGTAAAATGTTTTTATTATTATTAGTGCTGGGTTAAAATATAAACTTTTTTTACAGGCGGCAGGTATTTCGGTGGAATTTTGCAGTCATATAGTGCATTCTTATATCACATCGACAGCGAAGACGAGATTTGATAAAGCATCGGAGGCGCTTTCTATCACAGGAAGTTCTGTAAGTGCAACTAATGTTTGCATGATCTATATTTCAGTCTTCGAGAAATTTATTATTAAACTTTTTAACTATGCCACAGGTTTTTTCCGGAATCACTTTGACCAAAATCGTGGGTATCGTGGTGTTAGCATTTGCGAAAACGCAAATCTTCCGAGTATTCTATTTCCGAATGTATTTAGGAATTGTTCTGTTTGGTGCTATACACGGTTTAATATTTTTGCCTGTGTTATTAAGTTTTATAGGTATGTAATGTGTATTATATATTTTTTTCAAAAATGTTAATATTGCACGATGTATTGCGCGCCCAACACAATATTATAATCATTATTGTTACAGGACCTGTATAAGAATAATAATGTATAGAACCTGTAAGGAAGAGCAATACAACATTCATGGCAATAAAAAAAAAGCTATCTTATGTGATTCGTAACGTAATGCGGTTGTTTAGACAAAAATAAATGATTAATGTATATAAATTATTTTGTTAATAACGTAGCTCTATACGTTTGCGTATTTTTTTATATTCACGTATATGATATCGTCAGACTGAATACACAGCTGTGTGTTAATTAATATCTTATAGTTGCAATTTGCAATCAGTGCGAATCCAAATGTTTATGACATATCATACGCATACGTTAAAAAAATATGCAGATTTGTATTTAATTTATATTAAATAAATTTGTTTTCTTTACAAAAATATTACTTGTCATTTACTTTCTTTACTTGCCACTAGAAATACTTTAAGATAGCAACTTGTCTGATGAAATTGTGCTAAAATTCAGTCATTCGATAAATGCAGTTACATTTTCTAAAATTCAATAGTTTTTCATGAATTAAAATAGATAAAATAATATATATATTAGATTGATAAGAATTTTCTTTTGCAAAATTGATAAATACTACAAACTTTTCACACTGATTTAACAATTGTTGCTTATTTTAAAACATACCAAATAATTTATTTCATAATATTTATAACTTTATAACTTTGAAAATTTATAACTTTGAAAGCTAAATAATATATATTTGTAAAATGGTAATAAATTTTATGCAAAATCAGATTCTAATTGTCTCAAAGTGATCTTATAGGAAGGTAAGTAAACATTATACAAAGGATATAATTTTAAATGCGATTTAATGTTTAAATGCTGTACAAGAATGTGTTACGATACTTCAATTACAATTTGTTACATTCTTGTTGCTTTAAAATGACATCTTTGAAAAAAAATTATAAAAAGCGTGGGGATATAGATTTGCGTAAATTAAAAAATAATATTCATCACTATTCCGATACTACTGGTATTATATCCCATTTCCAAGATACTATTACTAGCGACGTTTCTCTGAACCTGCAATTTAAGGGCAGGCACCTCCCCGAAGTCGCAAAACCAAGTGGAGCGTGGATTCCTTTTGAATGTTATAGTCCGAAAGAGTTCTGCCATCTTCCAGTTGTTTGCCGGCGAAAATCAGACGTTGCTGATCAGGAGGAATACCTTCTTTGTCCTGGATTTTGGCTTTTACGTTTTCGATCGTGTCGGAAGCTTCGACTTCGAGTGTGATGGTTTTGCCTGTGAGTGTTTTCACGAAGATCTGCATTCCTCCTCGAAGACGCAGTACCAGGTGAAGTGTGGATTCCTTTTGAATGTTATAGTCTGAAAGAGTTCTGCCATCTTCCAGTTGTTTGCCGGCGAAAATCAGACGCTGCTGATCAGGAGGAATACCTTCTTTGTCCTGGATTTTGGCTTTTACATTTTCGATCGTGTCAGAAGCTTCGACTTCGAGCGTGATGGTCTTGCCCGTAAGAGTCTTTACAAAGATTTGCATTCCTCCTCGAAGACGCAAAACCAAATGGAGTGTGGATTCCTTTTGGATGTTATAATCTGAAAGAGTTCTGCCGTCTTCCAATTGTTTACCAGCGAAGATCAGACGCTGCTGATCAGGAGGAATGCCCTCTTTATCTTGGATCTTGGCTTTGACATTTTCTATAGTGTCAGAAGCTTCCACCTCAAGGGTGATAGTTTTTCCAGTGAGGGTCTTCACAAAGATTTGCATGATGAATCTAAAAGAAAAAATATTTTATAATAAAAATTAATTATTTTATATTTAAGTATAAATGTTTAATTAAAATTAATTCATTAATGTAAATTTATTAATGTCATACAATTTAAAATAGCATTTTTAATTTTGCTATTTGTATGTTGCTAAAAACTGTAACAATTTGCATATTTAATTTATTTCTAATATAAATACATATATACACATATATATATATATATATATATATATATATATATATATATAATTTAAAATAAATTAAATATGCAAATTGTTACAGTTTTATAAAACTGTAACAATTTGCATATTTAATTTAATTAAAGAGATATTTTGCTTTTAATATGCAGATTTTTTTTGTATTCATAAATATGATATCAAACTTTGATATATTTCAGAAAATGAAGTTGTGTGATTATGAAATATGATTTTTAATGTGACTTAATACTGTTTACCTTGTGAATGTGACTTTATATAGTCAACATTTCTATTGAAATGAAAATATTTATTGGAAACATTTGTCATTGGATCAAAATTGAAATATAGTCAACTGATAATTTTCGAAAAAATGTGATTTAATATAAGATACTTCTGAGGTGCTCATATTTATTACAATGTTATAAATGCTAAATACTAGTTTTTATAATTTTTATAAAATATACTAATAGAAAAGAAAAAATATTAATTTCAACAATAACTCAATTTTATACCATAATTGATTAAACAATTATAGCTACTTCTAATCGCATAAAATGCTTCTGTGTAATTTATACATCTTAACTTGTTTTCTACAAAATAGGTCATGATTATAACAGAAAAAGCGCTGTAATGGCGGCTCTCTAAACAAAAGTCCGACAAGATTCTTCCCTTAATTCACGCCTGTATCTATCGTATCCAGCTTAAAACAAACTCTGTTACCGTAAAATCGAGTCATTCTACATTTCAAATAAACAGGGAATCCAAGAATTGCAATTACAAACCTAATAATAGATAATCGATCGTGTGATGTAAAAGAGACTGACTCAGGGAAATGGAACTACGCCTCGATGAACGGAAAATTTCCAACGGCGCAACAGCGACGGATTTTCGCGTATTAAAATGTAACGATTGATCGTCAACCACTTACTTGATATCGAAACGATTCGCAGTTCTCTTCGATAAAGCAACCTCTTTCAACGAAAGAAATGCAGCTAATGTCCAGAACAGTCGACAGATCGTAAAATATCTTCCGTTACGTATTGCTGTTAGCGCTACTAGACGAATCAGATGCCCTCTGTTGCCCACTGTTGTCGAAGGCTTGCCTTGCGCATACGAGTCGAGCGCGGCTTCAGTAGCGTCTCATTCGAGGCGTCTTTAAGTGCCCCGGTCTGTTCTTTCTAAAAATCTTGTTAAAATTTTTTCATGCTCCACAAAATTTTTTACAAATATCAAATAACATTAATTTCTTTTACGTACTTTAACTCATTAATCCATCCTCTCTGATCACAAGAAAATTTGAAATTTTTACGTTTGTAACATCTTACGTACACATCACTGACATTCGCTGACATCGGTCGGACACATCATATCTTGATATTCATGCACCATGTCAAACTGCGCCCGACATCTCTCGGCAAATTTGCCTGATTTTGTTCTTTTCAGTTTTTTCCTGTTCTTTCCTCGTTTGCAGTTGTCTTTCATCTGTTTGTACGCTTCATGTTGCATGCGATAAACAAAACAGAGCGAAGTGTGTGCACGTATTGAACGTTGCAATGCATAGTAACGTGTAATTTGTTCGGCAGCATTAACAATTCGTAAATTAATATGAGGGAAATCGAGCAAGAAACAGAAATTTACGTGGCCACCGACGAGAAAAAATTAATTGTTTCACTTTCCGTTGAACAGACTATCGAGGATCTTTGCATTAAGGTATGAATGATTCATTTTTCCTTTTTCGATAAATAAACACAGATGGCAGTTTTCTTCTGATGACTGCAGTAAAAACGAACATTTCCGGTTCGATGATGTACACTAATAAGTTTTTGTCGTCGTTATTATTTAATTATAATTGTAAGATTGTTTTAATTATGAAATTAGATTGTTATAATTATGATATTGTTTTCACATTGTTTTGTTGTGAGTACAAGATAACGTTGCAAGAATATATAGCAAGTGTTATCGATAAATTGATTGTTATTTATAAAATGCGCAATCTAATTTGTAATCAAATAAATATACTTATTAGAAATTTATATTTCATGTTATGTTGTGTAAAATTTGAAATTTACCGATCTCTGTATTTATAAAAAATCGCTTATTAATAAATTAATTATTTAATTGACTATTTTGTTAAATATGTTTTTTCTTTTTACTAATTAATTTTTATTTTATATTTTAGCAAATAATTTTTTATTATTCCGTTTATAGGAAACATATAAAAGTGTACAAAATTTGTTGATAAACAAAAAATTTTTAATTTATAGGTATGCAAGAGTCTTGGAATAGGTCCGAGAGCAAGACATTTGTTTGCATTACGATGTCACATTTCAAAGTTATGGTATCCTTATGGCCACAAGTTAGATAGCACAGAGAATCAGTTTGATTTTTACTTAAGATTCAAACCATCCAGCTTGCAGATATTGAAAGAAACAGATATGCAAGCTTACAATTATTATTTTATGCAAGCTCGGATGGATATATTGAATAATAAAGTACCTGATATCGTTTATGAGAAGCATAAACGTGAATTAATCGGCCTAGGAGTTAGTGATATGTACAGGTAAAGTCAAATTGCGAAAGCTAACTTTTCTATTTTAACGTAATCCTTGACAGGATTTCTACAAATTCTGTTTTGTATAATTGCCAAATGCAGTGGATGAAAATTTATGGTACTTTATTTGTTGTAGAGTTATACTTGAGAAGAATCAATCAAGAGAAAGTGTAGAGTCAGAATATAAAAAATATATTCCAAAAGAATGTATAAAAAGGCATGCCTTTTTTATTAAAAAACCTATTCGCAATGCGTTGGAAATATGTGCAAGCAGTTTGCACGATGCTTCGTATGTTAAGGAGCAGTATTTGAAGCAGTTTGAGTGTATAGCTCCGAATTATCCTTACGAAGAATATAAAGCGTCAATGGATAAAGAGGATAGCAATACATCAGTTAAAGTGTTACTTAGGGTTAACGCGGAGAATGTAAGATATTGTGAGACTGACATTGGTACATGGAAAATACTTTGTGCAATAGAGGACCTTTGTTTCATTTCTATAAGGTAATGTTGAATGCATAGAAAAATATTTTAACTTATTTTTTTTAATGTATTATCTTAAAACAGAAATCAATATTATGTAGTAGTTATAAAATAAGTCTTACACTTGTACTCTATAATTTATTTAAATTAATATAATATAATTAATTTATATAATGAAATTATATAAATTAATATACAAATTAAATAGATAAAAAATAATGAATTTTTACTTATCTTCTAAAAATCCTCCAGTTCTTCCAGTTCAAACTTCTCCGATGTAGAAGTTTCAAGGAAAAACGGCATACCATCCTATTTGAGATTTGAGACAAAGGAAATATTAATGTCTTTCGTATCCGCGTTGGATGGATATTATCGCTTATCAATTAAGTGGACTTTCAATCTCTGTAGAAATGTTATCACACCTACTCTGGATAAGTTATACAAATCAAGGTGCCATGGACCAATTGGGTAAGACGGTCTTCGTGAAATAACATTGTTACATTCTGTCACACATAACATATTAAAATAACTCTTAAAAATCTTTTCAGAGAAGAGTTTTCATATATAAAACTCAGGGAAAAACGTTCCAATCGGCCGGGAACTTACATACTGCGCGAGAGCGAAACTGAATACAACGTCTACTATATGGACGTTTGCGGCAAGGACGGTCAGTTATTGTCGCACAGAGTGGAGCTCACTGAATCTAACAAATTTTTGATAGTGGGCACCGACCAGAGCTATGAATCTCTGGGGCACTTGGTTTACTCATTGCGAGATCCTACCAGTTCGCTATATCTTGAAGAATGTTTGCCACCTTCGGAATATGGTACGTAATATTAATATATAAAGTCAATATAAGGGTCGACATGTCGAGAAAAATGTTAGAGAATAGAAAAGATAATGAGATATGTTAAAATTTTTTAATTGTTCCTTATTTATATATATATTTACGTATATGTATAATTTTTATTTTACAGACAGATCGCCATTACTGATGTGCGCGTCGGAGAATATCGTGAGCGAAGTGGCGGTGAACGAGGAGATAATCACCACTCTGTTGGAGGGAGGACCGCGGTGCGTGCCTCCGGATCAATTGCAAGAATACGAAACCAAGAGTGCTGAGAATTTGACTGGCACGCAATCGGCGACGACCTTGTGCCGGGCGATGTGGCGAGTCGCTAAAGGCAAAAAACTCGAAGTGGCGATGAAAATACTCAAAACAGAGAACTATGAGGACACCAAAGAATTTTTGGAGCTGGCCGGCAAGTGGGGCCAATTGCGATCGGGCGCTCTAGTCAGGTGGATGTCAAGTATATCAACGTCTGCAAACATCGCACGACACATGATTGTAACGTACCGTTCTGTTTTTTCAGATTATACGGTATAACTGTGGCCCCAACAATCGGAATGCTGCTGGAATTGGTGATGCTAGGTCCGCTAGACAGGTACTTGTGGGAAAACTCTTTGATCGTGAAAACAGTTGATCTGGTAGAAGCTACTGCTTGTCTAGCAACCGCTCTGTGGCATTTGGTGAGTTTATTTTTCTTATTGTGCAAAAATAAAATATAACTTCTGACAAATAAATCCTAGTGTATAATGAAATATATATCCGTATTTATAATATAGTGAAATATTAATATTCCACTGAGATATCTATAAAATTGCAGGAGGAGAATCATATAGTTCATGGAAACATAAGGTGCGAGGCGCTTTTTGTGCAATCACATACTGATAATCATTTCAGTGTCAAATTAGGAGATCCAGGTCTCTTTACTTACATTCTGGAGAAAGAGTAAGTTTAGAAAAAAATCTTGTATTTAATTATGTTTGTCAATTATCATTTTGGCAACATGCGCCACATACGAGACTCTTATTCTTCCTTCGTTTGGCGTAGTATATATTGGATACCGCCAGAATGTCACGAGGATGTGCAATCCGCAAAATACAGTCTTCAAGCAGACATATGGGCTTCAGGTACGACTATCTGGCAGATATTCTCCAAAGGACAACGCCCGTATTTTGACAAAGAGATAGATGCTATCAAGAAGGTATAACACAAAAGCAAAATGTTATATGAATAATATTGGGTTGGTAAATAAGTTCGCTCGGTTTTTTATAACGGAATATAACACAATTATTGCGCAAATGATTTTCAACACTTGTGCGGGATCTATTGAGTGCTGTAGCAATCCCTCGCACCGATTGGGATGGATTATTATCGACGAACGCCTTGATATCATCCGAATTAATCTCGGTAGGGCGATCAAATCTCCTATCAAAATTTCTAGAACAGAATTTGGCAAACCACTTTTGGCAGGCGCGTTCTGTTAGGGCATCATCCCCATACACACGGCATATTTTTTTATGAGCATCCGCAGCTCGCTTGCCTTTTTGGAAATAATAACGCAAGATATGACGATAATGCACTTTGTCCACTTCCATTTTACAAGTACCAAGCACACACAATACTAATGTTAGCACAACCAAACTTTATGGAAAATTTACGTAAAAGATAACCTTTCAAATGCCGAAATGAGTTACAATGTAGCACCAAAAGGAAAAGAGTGATATAGGCATTGCAAGCAGTACCAACCAAAAACCGAACGAACTTATTTGCCAACCCAATGTTATGTTGATAAAATAAATTTTTGTCCTTCATTCAATACAAATTATTTGGAAATTTAATTTTGTCCATATTTTATGATAATTGATGCAAAAACAGCGTCATATAATTAAATGACACTTGTTGGCAGTTTTACCAACAAGGATTAGGATTACCCATGCCCGATGGTTGTCCGAATGAAATCTACACATTGATGTTGGAATGTTGGGGCAGGGGTAACACATTGAGGAAACAACCGCAGGCCATCATGCGAGATGTCAATCAAATTCTGTATCAAGTTTACAATTCCCGTAGAACTCACACTTACGAATTTCCCAAACTCCTCATTGACTTCCACAAAAAGGAGGAAAATGGAACGGATACGGAAGAAACCAAGTCGAACAGTGAATCGCACGTGAGCAGCATGGTCACTGATAATACTAGCGTAACTATGGAAGATGGTGACGACGGTGAGTTGATTAAAATTATTGATAACTGGTTTCCTGTTCAATCTTTTCTTATCAATTTTGATGACGATTTGATGTTATATATTGGAGATGTTGCGTAATGATCGGATATTTTATCACGATGGCCGTGCAAGAATGAAGAACCAAACTTGAATTCCTTTTTTCAGCTACAAATCAGTTAGTAAATGTTAACGAGAGTTGCGTCGGCAACGTGAACGGACTACCGTTTTACATGTATTGGCCGGACAGTGCGGATGGTAGCACCGGGCAAATTCCTCCCAGCAGCCATCGCGGTGCGACCCAAAATAGCTTCCGCAGCACGGCACGATTCAACAACGGACACGCCGCTGATAACGGCAGTATCGGCGGCGGTAGCAACAGCAGCACTCTTTGCCAGGACGCTTGTCAGGAGACAACCGGCTTTGAGTTAGACGCGGGCTACGAAGTGATTTCGCAAGGACGTATAGGTCAAGGCTTCTACGGCGAGGTGTTTAGGGGCACGATGTACCACGACGGTACGGCGCAGGAAGTGGCTATCAAGAAACTCAAGACGCGCGCGGAAGCGAGCTTGCTCGACTTTGAGAGAGAAATTAACATTATGAAGGTGAATGATGGCTTTGAGAATCACGTAAACACGACTTTTGCTTCAGAAGCTGAGAAAGTCCGTTCGTGTATCGTCATTTCGAAAATGATAGTTGTTCCATTTTCTTTTGCAGACTCTCCAGCACGATAATATCGTGAAAATTCTCGGCGCGGTGTGGGACCCAGATGCTCAACTGATTATGGAATACGTCAAACATGGCTCGCTGCACGGTTATTTGCACATTAATCGACAGAGTCTCACACACAAGAAGCTACTTCGTTTCGCCCTGGATATCGCCACGGGCATGGAATATCTCGGCTTCAAGTCCATCGTTCACCGGGATTTAGCGGCGAGAAATATTCTGGTGGCAAACGAGAATCAGGTGAAAATCAGCGACTTCGGCCTCGCGCAAATGACAGGCGACAACGATTATTATATACTTCAAACCAACCGCGATCTTCCGATAAAATGGTGAGTGCAAATTATATTACATTTTGATAATAGCAATACAAGATCATTTTTCACAGATGTGTAATATAACATTTCTCGCTCTCTTGTTGCTAAGTGAAATTTTTGCAATAATCGCAAGATACAAAGGACGCTCTGCAATATGTCTGAGTGAAATACACAATTCTAGGTACGCGCCGGAGAGCTTACGCGACGGCAAGTTCTCCACGCGTTCGGACGTGTGGTCGTTCGGCGTGACGATGTTCGAGACCTTTAGCTTCGGCGCGGATCCAAAGCTACCAGAGATTGGATCGAATTGTAGGAACAGCGCCCAGAGGGAGGTCAACGAGGGCAGTGAGTTATTAATCGCATTGGAACGTGGCACCCGTCTTCCTTGTCCATCCACATGTCCGCTGGAAGTCTATGTGAATCTGATGCGCCCGTGCTGGAATTTGCAGAGCCATGCGAGACCGCGTTTTACCAAGCTGTGCGCGACCATCTCGGAACTGCTCAAGCGATATTAGAATACCTCTGTGCTGGCTCTGGACGAGCTGTGTCTGAGACGCTGCAGAAGTATGCTGACATCCACTCCGAATTTTAATGAAAGATTTTTTAGATAAATCTTAACACATTGTTGACGGGAGACGCGAAGCGGCGTCTTGCATTTTTTAACGTTTTTTTTACATTGTTTTGTATAGGTGCATGCATATTTGACATGTTTTCCGAAAATGTGCGAGAACTGAGGCAAGATCCATTTCACAGTGTACCGTCAACAATGTGTCAAGCTGATTTCTGTTTTCTTTTTCTTACAATTTTACGGAAAATTGTTGACATATCGATATGTTCTTTAGATCATTTGTTGTAAAAAATATTTCAAAATCAAAGAATCTGTTGTTAAAATTGCGAGTGCACTTTTTTTACAGTATGACATATGTTGTATCTAGTAGTGCTGTCACTTAGAACCGTCGGATAACTACTTGCGCGCGTGTACCCGAATAGCCGAATATTGACAGCATTAATATCTAGTCGACGTGTTTGTCGCTTTTTTATTATGTACTGTGTGTAATATATAGCCTGAGTATTTTTTTTTTAATACTGAATTTCCTTTTATTTGTTCCTCACCCTTTCCTGTAATAACAAAGTCTACGGTAGAGCGAAATATTTACTTAAAAAAAAAAAAGAACGCACGGTGCGAGAAAAGTGGCTGTGAGGATAATTTTTGTTTTCAGACCACCGATGGTTCTCTTTCCCACGTTATTACATGAACGTTATACACGTGCGATCAATCGATCTCTCCGGCGCCTTTGAAAGTTTTCATCTCCACATCAAGTGCGTACATTTTTCCTTCGATGTAATTTGTAGAATAATGGGAAAATTGTCGTGAATATGAAATAAAAAAATAAAAAATGAAGATAGTCGAGTAAACCCTACAAGAAGGGGTAAAATGATTATAGCGACGAAGTTACGTCCGATGACGAACTCTCGCTCACACGGTCAGTCTTTCTAGGCCCTTCAAAATAAATGGAACACCCCGAGGAACGTTATTACAAGTTGAACAAATTTTTTTTATCGGTTACTGGACTCTGGCCTTATCAAAGCGCACGGACAGCCTACTTGATGAGGACCATTATAACTATCTCCATGATGTCGTCCGCCTTTGTTCAGGTATTTGCCGATTTTATATTTTTCTTTTTACCAACTGTTGGAAATTAACGAATTAAAGGCAACAGTATAAATAATTAAATATAATAATAATAAAACGTAACTGTGATAAAGAATTTGATTATGTTGGTCAAACATCTGTATAGATAATTGCCTTTCGATAACTGTGGCTACTTCTTTCATTTTTATCGAAGATTAATAATGTCTTTCCAGTTGTCAAGTTTTTTCACGTCTAATATCACTATGGAATACCTAGTCGATATTATACCAACGCTTCTACCAGTATTAGGTAGCCTAATCCACTTGTACATACGTGTTAAACATACAGATAAAGTAAGCTTCGCCAATTATTACTTACGTTCCTAATATTTCCAATTTAATAGAAGACGTATGTAAAAACTTAGAACATAAAGTTTTATATAGTCTTCCCAGCAAACACAGAACATTGCAGCAACATTGCAGCAACGTTACAGCAATATTGCGATATTGCCGCAATATTGCTGCAATGTTCTGTGTTTGCTGGGTTCATAAAAAATTACTTTTAAGATTTTTACATGACAATTAAGTTATTTACTTGTCTAATAATTAAAAAGCAGTGACAAAATAAATTGTAAACAAGATGTATGTTAAATAAGCAAAATGATATGTTACAAAGAAGTAAATAAAATTTCTTCAAAATTTAAATTCGATTATTATAGTTTGCACATCGATTGATAGTTTAATAAAATCTATCAAACTATCCCTTTTTTCTTTTGTGCTATTATTTCATAATACACAATTTTATTTCTTTTTAGCTTAGAGAACTTTTGAATCGTATGTGGAATGACTGGGCATTACAAAAGACAGAAGACGAGTTAAAAATCATGCATGAGTATGCTGAGATCTCGAGGTTATTGACACTTCATTATTCGCGTAAGAGAAACATTAAATCTCGCTTTATCTACAAAAGAAAAAGACACGCGTTTCTGCCTGTAAGAGTGTATTTTTGTGTGTGAGATGTGCGGCAAATACTCTCCCCATTATCAGCATTAAACACATTATTTATCATATATATACATCGGTTTCAACATATAACATTTGCGGCATTTCTTTTAGCGACTCACAATCACATTTTCACTTTTATAACATATTCATTATAATTGTGTCGTTAAATTAAATGGGTGTGGAATTTTCCAAGGACGATTTATTTGAATCTACATTGATTTATTTAACCTCATAATTTTTCCTCTCCTATATATTAATTTTATTCTTAATATTAAATTTATATACATATATATATATTTTTTGAAACATTAAGTCTTCCGCTTTTATATCTCATATATATAATTAAATCTTGTTCAATCAAACTTTTAAAGAGTTTGCAGTTGAATTTAAAAGCAATCATACTTGTAAATACTGAAAATTGAATCAAACTTTCGGTTTGATTCAATCACTTATGCTCGATATTTTCAAATGTGTATGACGTTTATCACACATATCAAATTATCTCTTAAATTGCCATCTCTGGCTGAAATACTCTTGGAGAGGCAAGAGATTAATGATTTCATCTGATCGCTATATCCAAAATCTATTTTTTGTTACATGGCTATTGACAAAAACAATATTAGAAAGTTTACGTTCATTGAATTTTTCAGTTCAAATGTACGCAATAGTGGTGATATATATCGTGTGGGTATTCACGCCGGAAATACTCGACGTAATATTGCCCATGAATGAGTCCCGCCCGTCAATACGACCCTTTAATACTGAATATATTATGTTCCACGACGCTGAACTAAACTACTTTTACTTCCTTCGGTCCTACGAATATAGTGTGGTTCTTCTTCTACCGCTAATTTTCATTGCCAGCACGGTTTTATTTCTGGCTGTAACGCTACACGTTTGCGGGATGTGCAAGTTGCTGGGGTAAGAGATTGATCATCGCAATTGATTATTATTTGCGAAAAAGTAGACTACTCGCGAAAGATGGAGTGCATAACTCTCTATTTACTCGTGAATTTACATATAGACTCAAGATATCATATACTGTTTATTATGTTGTTAAAATAGATGACCAAATTATTTTATTTCTCATTTTTTTAATTATATTTTATTTTCATGAATGGTAATCAATTATTTTCTTCTACTGTTTATCACAAAAGGAATATTATTTGTGCAATTTTGAGTATGCGTAATGTTGATGACAATTTCGGCAGGTATCGCGCGGAGCGTTTATTTTGCGTTAAGCAGGACGCAACAAGATACGATTTAATTTCCAGGACAAAAATAAATTACGGAAACATAGCCGTTCTTATACGACTGCATTACAACGTCATACAGTTCGTACTTTCATTTTGCCATACACACATTATTATTTTATAAATCAATGTAGTCCAATTTTTTATTGCATTTTATGCAAAATCGCCATGTAATAATGACGATAACTAAAAACAATATCGCTTGCTCTTGTTATTTGCGACTTTAATTAATAAAATATCCTTTATTAAGTGATCACATTTTAATATTTTTCTAATCACTTTTCCAAATATATCCGGAAACTATAATTAAGTGTAATAACGGAAGTTTATTATTAAGACTAGTTTAAAAAAAAATTAAAATTATTTAACAAATTACTAATTGTAAATGTATATTGTTAACAGTACAAATAAATGTCAAAATACCCAGCAAACACAGAACATTGTAGTAACATTGCGGCAATGTTGCAACATTGTAGCAACATTACAGCAATATTGCAACATTGCCACAATGTTGCTGCAATGTTCTGTGTTTGCTGGATATATTTAGTTTCGCGAGCAAGAATTATTTCTTATCTTATCACGCAAACACCATTAACCATAACGTATACTTTTTCACGTTACAAGATTTGTTGGTATAATCGAAACATATCACACAATACCGTTTGCAGTGGATTTTCTGGGATTAGTGATTGTAATGACTCTTACATTAACGCAGGTATATTCACAGCGGAAGCATGTCAATTGTCTTGAACTCTAATCAAAATATTCAAACGATATATTTCAGATACTGACTTTTTCCGGTGACATAAATCGAGCCGTAAGATCTAGCAGTTTCTGCATTGCGCAATTTATTTATTTATTTATATATAATTACATGGCACAAAAACTCACAGACATGACCTCGAGCGTGTGTGAGACAGTGTGAGTAGTATATTTTCTTGATAATATTTTCCGCAATAACTAATAAGCTGCGTGACGATATATAATAGATTTAATAAGGAAAAATAAAAATTTATATGTTATAATAATATAAGTTGTACACATTAAGGGATGTGTAATTAATTTAAATTTAAATTAGATATCTCTCCCATTTTATTATTTGCTTAATTTAATTAATCTCAAAATTGCAGGTACAATTCTGCATGGTATGACGCAGTTGTTTTGGAACAGAAATCCTTGCTGCTAATAATGAGGCGGCGCTTCCACCCGCTTATCCTGACCGCCTGTAAATTTTACGCGATGTCCTTGCAAAATTTCGGAATGGTAAGAAAGTAAAATAGACCGTAATCGATCCGGGCAAGTCACAGCGATAAAAAGTAAAAATATTTACATTTATTTTATTAAGATACTTCAAACGACGATGACCTATTGCATGTTTCTCAGACAAGTCTAAGGATATTTCTGTCAACTGTTGACGCAGAAGCAACGTAGAAAACAAGTGAGAATGCCGTAATGATCTTGTTTTTAATATAGTAGCGATCAATGAAATGTACTCAGCAGGATTCTTCGAAATAACCTGTCTTTGATAAGTACTGTAAGGGTGGGAATAATTAAATTAGGTTTATTTGAGCATATATAGATAATTAACGCGAGCTAGGAATTAGTTCACACTTATTTCCAAAAAGTGTCGTACAGTATTTATAAAAATGGTAAATCACCGAAAGTAAAAAATCACAAATATCACCAAATATTAATTGTTAAAAAATATTAATAATTGTTAATTAATTATTTGTTCCTATAATTGTTATTGTTATATGTGTGAAATGCAAATTTATTAAGCAATTGTTTCTATTGTATATTGTCCTGTTTTTATAAATATGTAAAAATTAAAACAATTCAACTAAAATGTTCTAATCAAAATTATGGGTCGTTAATAATGCCCTTTAATATAAATTTTACGATTTAGTACAGTACTTTGCTTCAGAGTTTAAAGAAAACAATAATTTCGGTGAGTACATTTTATTGACCGCTACTGCATTATGTTAAAAAGTTTTCCTTCGTGTAAGAAAAAATCTATTAGCACGATTTCCAAGTAAGTGTATGTAAATAGATTTAATAAACAGAGAATATAAGTTTGTAAAACACGCGTTGACAGAGCGTACAAATTTTATTTCAAAGGAATACAACATTGCAGGGGGCATTAATATAAGTAAAAAAATTTATTATCGGTATCTTTAGTAATGCAAATGATTTTTAAACTCGATCTTGCGTAAAACCTGTGGATGTGTTCACGCGAAATCGTAGCGTGCGCAACGCTGTTCACTACTGTCATGCGTCGACGACGCTCCGCGATCGTTGAGGACGCACTAGCTCGGCGAAAAGTCGGTCGTAAGTCGCGAGATGAAATCATAGCGGGCGAGGCAGCGTCCATGGAAGCCGGTTTAATAACATTAATGAAGGAACAGCTCTCGCGCGAGCGAGAGAGCAAAGAAAAAAAAAAGAGAGAGAGAGAGAGAAGGAGAGGGAGCGCTCTCCCCCTGATTTTCTTTGCCGCCCCTCCACCATTCTTTATCCTTGGAGGAAATAAAACCAGAGTTGTAAGAGCTGGATGATTAATATCCAGCCGACAGTTTGTGAAGCGGGCAGCCAATAAACGGGATAAAAATACTCGTGAAAAATAGCGCGCTCATTAGGGGTACAGTGACATCTGCGACTGCCTGCCTCGAGTGCTCGCGCGAAGGAAGCCCTGGAAGCTGGAAGGCGGGTCGAGGAAGGGCGGTGGAGTGAGCAGAAAAGGTGGCGGAGGAGGAGGCCGAGGGAGGAGGGGGGGGGGAGAGAAGACATTGCTCAAGGACGGAGCACCGGAAAACGGAGGGACAGATTTATTAAAGTAATGGCAGATTATTTTAATATTCCAATGGAAACGCGCTCCATTCGTTGTCCTGTGCAATTCAATAATCCGCGCGCCCAGGCCAATCCTTCTCAGTGGGAGTGTCATTATTTTGGGACGCTCGCTCCGCGACGATGTTCCCAGTTGACATCCGACGTATAAAGGACGAATGGATTCGTCAAGCGTGCGCGAAGAACTTTGCGCGTCTGAAGCGGCGGGATTTTCCATTTCGCGTCGCAAAGTTCGACGCTCATTCTTTACACGCGGATCCGTATTCATGTCTCAAGCGCGGTGCTAAATGTGCCGTGTGGATGCGGGCCAATGTATGTAATATCGACGAGCTTTCCGCCGCGGAAAGTGAGAAGGAAGTTTCGTGCTCTGTTTATTTGAGCCCGAAGTGGCTCGAGCTAAATTTTTGCCGAGAACACGGCAAATACAGCGCAGCTGTTGGCTTATGAAAGCTATAAATGTCGCTGCCAAAGCAAGTCTAAGTAACCGATTCGGTCAATATTGTCACTTTATTTTATTCCCTCTTATTAGCATGCTCCGTTACTGACTCCGTGTCGCTTCCATCCCTCTTCTGCGCCCACGTGAGAAATAAAAATGGACCGAGGAGACGAATTTTTCGTACGAGAGCGCCGCGTGACAATAAAAGCCGGATAATAAAAGATACGTTAGAGGAGTGCATAAGATGAATGCGGGGACAATTACGGCGGCGGGGGTGAATGAGACGGTGCAGTATCTTCTAATGATAAAATCGATAGTCATCACGAAGTCGTTAAGAAATCACGACTATTAATCAAACGTTTATTGTGGAATTATTAAAAAAGAATGACTGTGAAATTTATCATTGAGAGACATGATAGTATCACACCCGTCATTCTAGCACTTTCGCTGATTAATTTCCAGCGTACGATTAATCAATATAATTTATTTTACATTAATATATAGCAATTCTAATTTTGGCGGTTGAAAAATATCGTTTGGTGCAAAATGTGGTGAAGAAACTTGTTACGATATAATATTTAAGCGAGGACAAATAATTCTTTGGAACGCGAAAGGGTCGGAAGCGCGCATTGGGATGATTTCCTTCGCGGAATTGGAATTCGTGCGTGACATCATTTTACTTTGGAGTATCGCCGCGCGAATAAAGAAATAGTGCTTATTTTCTCATCCTCATTGGATTCTTTTCGTCTACTTGGCACGAAATCCATTCGAAATTGGAGGCTGCCGTTGCGAAAGAAGCGATATATTTTTAAGAAAGCTACGCATTTAATTGCAGAACGTTAATCGCATAAATCACGTTACACAGAAATGAGCTTTTGCGTTTCTCTAGGGATTTGGGTAAAACAATATGTTGCAATTACCCCTCCCAGCTTAACATAGCGTACAACGTAGCTGTATCAGCCGCCGCCGTTATGCGCATCGGAACTCCGATCGCAACCATCAGAGCGCTGATATACGCCCGCCATCAAAATCACGTGCCACAAAGCGGCACGATTCGTATTTTTCTTGCTGCTCTATTTTTTTGTTTTACCCTCTTTTTTTTTTATTTTTAATTACGACGCGGCCCACGATCGATCGCTCGATCGCGACGCTGCACTCGAATCGGCCGGCATAATCTTGACGTATATTTTTCCGGACAGCACGAGCTGCCGGTGGATGGTGGCCGGCGCGGCGATATTCGTTAGGGGCCATTTTTAAAAATTAAACGTCCCACTTTATCGTTACGCGCGGCGATTAATAATAACGGGCGCGATCGGGCGCGAGCGAGCGAGCGAGCGCGCGCGTATCTTCTATAACCTTTTCGGGGTATAAATCTGCGAAATTCTGGAATTATCAGGCGGCGGGGCATGAAAGGCTATTTCCGTCGCGCGGAATCGCGGGCAATATTTTACCGCCCGGGATTGGGGTTGAACGCGGGACACATCGACGTTTGATATTTTTATGCAGTGGCGCCGCCGCGACGAGATTTACGAGGCAGATATGCGATCACAAAATGTCCGACACTAAATCAAACATGTTGCATCGGAAAACATCCAAAATTATTATTGGGACTTTTATTGGATCGACGGGAATGAAATAAACGTGTGACGTAACTTTATATTCTGCCCCCATCCTCCCGCCGGCCCGCCCCGCCGCCCTCCATCCCCCGCGCGCGCTTACGAGCTCCTGTTCTATCCGTTCTCTTGCGGAATAAAAGGCTAACTTTATGATTGATTCGCCTTTTTTTACGAGCCTTTTTTCGTCGTACGTCAGTGCCGAAGGCGATGGATGGATCCTCCCGTTCTCCGTCGATACCGTGTCGTCTCGTTTCTCCAAGTGGAATACTCGATTCCACGTGGATCGCGAAAGAAATTTCCTTTCGATTTAATCATTACACATCTGCGATTTTGGCACGATGAGGCAAATAACATTGAAACAGCGAATATTTCACATAATTACTGTAAAAAACTAAATTTTTTATCTTATTTTGCAAAAAAAGCCCATTTATGTAAAGAAAAATAAAGACATTGCTTGCGGAAGCTATATATAAATTTCTTTTAATATAAATGATAAAATTGTACTTTTACAATTTTTCGTTACTTTCCGGATGGTCAAGATTCATGTTTATTTAATATATTCTCTTGACCTTTCTAATATGACTTGTTCAATTACTTTCTCGGTGTGCTCGAGTTTTCATCAAGTTATGAGAGAAATATGAACACAAGTGATGGCATTCGGAGGAAAACGGGTCATCCGCGTCGGGAATCACGTCGGGTTACAAAAGGGTTTTAATGAAAGAGAACGGGGCGCGCATTGTGCATCCCCCCAAGATCGCCGCAGTTGGCTGTTATTAATCGCACTAATCGATTTGATGTACGCTGGTGATGCAGCGCCGGCGAGATGCAGTCTCGTATGCAGTGTCTATCTTTTATTGATGCGGCCTGCGTTGGCGCCGGCGTCCGACGCCCCGTAATTGAAGGGACGCCCTTTAACTGAATTTCAAACGATCGCACTGTTAGCGTTGCGTTTGCGATTGCGCGAGGGCGTCGCGACGTCTTTCGCCAACGTTGCACGCGACCGTTTCTACACGATCTCATTTTTCTCAGATAAAAGCTGTACGAAAGGTTCCTGCCATCAAGTCCCGCGTTTCTTCTCGCAAAAAGTGCCAATAAAAAGAAAATTATGAAAAAAAAGACATTCCGAGCAATTCGCCAAAGTAAGAGAGCGTGAAGCGGTGGAAAAATATTTTGAATCTTTAAGATAATTTTGATAATTTTGCAGGAAAAGCCATAAATTCCGCTAATTTTGCACAGAATGATGCGTCTATCGTGTCAGCATGTGATAATGCGACGTTCGTCGAGCGACGACGC